TAGATCCAGACATCTTTAGATCCAAACATCTTTAGATCCAAACATCTATAGATCCAGACATCTTTAGATCCAAACATCTATAGATCCAGACATCATTAGATCCAAACATCTATAGATCCAGACATCTTTAGATCCAAACATCTATAGATCCAGACATCTTTAGATCCAGACATCTTTAGATCCAGACATCATTAGATCCAAACATCTTGAGACATTGTTGCTTGTGTCCAGGAGTTAATCAGCTGATCAGGCTGTGACAGTTTACAGAACCTCTTCACAATATTCTCATTTTATTTTATTTTATTATTATCTGTAAGTTATAATCATCAAAATTACAAGAAATAAAGATTAAATATTTTGCTCTGTTAATCAATGAGTTCCATTTTCTGAAGTGATTGACAGAAAACAGTGAACGTGGTCACAATGTTCTAATGTTTTGAGATGCACCAAGTCCTGATCTGGTCCTGATTTCTTTAGACTTCCAAAGATCCAGGCAGGGAGGTCCTGACATCTTTCAGCTCTTCTGGTGGACTCCATGGTGTTCACAGACCAGAGGAGAGTCTCTCCAGCATGTCCTGGGTCTTCTCTGGGGTCTCCTCCCAAGTAGACATGTCCAGAACACCTCCCTATGGAGGCCCAGGGTCCATCCTTACCAGATGTCTGAACCACCTCTGGCTCCGCTGGATGTGGAGGAGCAGCGGTTCTACTCTGAGTCTCTCCTGATAACTGAACTTCTCACTCTATCTCTAAGGAGAGCTACCCTGCAGAGGAAACTAATTTCAACCTCCTGGATCCAGGATCTGGATCTTTCTGTCTTTACCCAGAGTTCCTGACCACAAATGAGGGTAGGAACGTAGACCAAGCGATAAACAGAGACCTTCTCCTCACAGCTCAGCTCCCTCTTCACCACAACAGACCGGCTCAGAGTCCACAATACTGCAGATTAGGAATGCGTGATATAAATGGTACACGGTAGAAACGATAGAAATTTAGCCTACGATAGCGATCTGTCTTCTACCGGCTAACCGCAGTAATGCTGTGTTTGATGTAAAATCAGAGTTGTCAGTTTAATCGTTTTTTTTTTAGCTGAAAACTGCGCAAGTGGCGTTAAAGTCTTTTCTTCGAGCGCTAAGTAGCGAAGCTACAAGCTAATTACAGCCGGCTTGCCGTAGTGTTGCCATATTCTGAAGCATGTGCAAAAGTGTTGGTCAGCTTTAGAGAAACCTGCTCTCTGATCTGTGAAAGAACGATGTGTTGTGTGATTTTACTGCGAGACCCTCTGGTCAAAGCCACAGACTCATTTTGTGTCAGATCTCCATTAAAGCAGAAGGAGGCGCCCACTAGAGGGTTGGAGGGTGAAGTGTTTCAGTGTAAAATGCTGCTCTGTTGCTCTTCATTTATTAAGTGAGACTGGAAACTGTTAAAAGTTAACATTTTCTTCTGTTTAAAACACATGGCTAAAACTACATTTGATATATTTTGCACTACAAGGAAGAAGCCCAATACTTGATTTGTTTATTATTTGAAAACTCTCTGGACCTAGTAGTGGAATTTTCTTAATTCAAAATATATGATGGCAAAAGGACACACTATGCTTTTTTAAACATTCCTATTAAGTTTTATACCCAAAACATATTGCGATATATATCGTTATCGCCACCCTTCACAGTACATATCGTGATATGAATTTTATGCCATATCGCACATTCCTACTGCAGATGCTGCACCAGTCCTGTCTCCGCTCTTCCCTCACTGAGAATAAAACCAGATACTTGAAGTCCTCCTCTTGAGGCAGAACCTCACCTCCAACCTGGAGAGGACAGTCCACCCTCTGACTGAGGACCATGGCCTCAGATCTGATAGTTCTGATCCTCCTCCCAGCTGTGAACCGCTCCAGTGACAGCTGAAGACCAACAGGACCACGTCATCTGCAAACAGCAGACTGAATCCTGAGGCCACTGAACCGGACTCCCTCCACTCCTCACACACACCCTGCGGTAAAACCGTTTAACGGTTGATGAACTCTGACACAAACGAGAACCGTGACAGATGAGGACCAGAACCAGCGTGAAACAGAACCCAACAGACAGCTAAAATAAAACCACACCGATGCTTTTGAACCGTTAGCCTACCTGTCTGGGAGCGTCCTACATTCGTTCTGATTCACGTTTTCAAACGTCTCCTCCAGTTTAGAGTCTGTATGTTCAGAACAAGCTGCTGTCAAACTGGAATTTAAAACAGGAAGTCATAGACTCGACCACTTCCTGTTTCTGCAGCAGCTCTGGGACAACTTCCTGCTCCCACATCTACACTCCACCCCCTGGTTTCTTCTCAGATAGTAAACATGATGTTTACCTCCGGCTGGTTACAGTACAGCTGCTGATCCGACGCCTGTAGGAACCGCTCGAGCATTTGGACCACGGCCCGGTGGATGAACGAGTACTGGTCCTGGAAACAGAACCAGAGTTCATGGAGACAAGGGAACACGAGAAACACATCAAACTAAAACCTTTGATTTACAAGTCAAAGTTTCTTTGTCGTTCCCCCACATGCGGTGCATGAGGTGGACTGAAATTACACCACACCATTTTATTTATAGAGCACTTAAAACAGCTACAAGACCAACCAAAGTGCTGAACAGACAGAACAACAGACAACACACGAAGCAATAATGAACACAACACAAATAATCCGAACACCATCAGCAGAGGCGGATTGCAAGCCATGTACACGGGCGCCATCTCACTGGGAAATTATGCACACAGGGTCCCAGTTACATCCAACAAAAGTATAAAATGTAAAGAAAAACATTAATAAGATCTAAGACATGAACTAAGAATACACTAAACACTAGTAGTACAAAAACAATACACCGAACAACAGCAGCACGAACACGAGTCTGTGTGAGCAGAAGAGGACAAATGAACACAGCAACATGAAACAGATCAGCAGCAACATGAAGCAAATCAGCAGCACATATCAACAATCAAGTGGCATCACAGTGATTTTTACAGTGATGGACCCACAGAACCACCCATTACATTTGAAGCCAGAACTTTTGAACCAAGTACTGTTGGACCCAGAACTTTTGGACCCATTATTGTTAGACCCATTATTGTTAGACCCATAACTGTTGGACCCGAGAGCATCAGAAGCATCTGTAATTTGGGGGGACACACTGATGTGTGTGTGTGTGTGTGCGCGTGCACCAGTGTACAAAAAAGAGCAACATTTCATCTAGATGTCCTGAGTTTAATTCCATTTAAAACATGTTTCTCAACAAGTTAGTGTAAATTCAGCTGTGGGTTTTAAAGATATTTCAACTTTAATGCACTTTATTAACACACATCATCAGGTCGGCACTATTGGGTTTACAAAGAAATAAACTTCACCACTAGATTTTTTTACTTGTGTTCAACACGACTCATCTAAATGTTGTTTCTCATGAAGCTTGAGGACAATAAGGTGTGGGGTTTTTAAAGACATTTCAACTTTAATGCACCTGAACACACAGCGTCTCTTACACCTGCAGCGTCTCACAGCATCACACTTACTGCTAAGATAAGATGCTACAGACGTAGCGCTCCACTTCTCTCCTAACATGAATATATGTTTATGATCAACCCTCCCAGTCAACAAGTGCCAGCACTAAGCTTGCTAAAAGCTGGCGAGTGAGCAACGCATGTGTCTCCACCTCCTCCACCTGTGCGCGTTCTCTGCCAAGGCAGGAGGAGACGCAGAGGAGAAATACTGCAGGCTGCTGGAGAGTTGGAGGTAACCAGGAAAACCTGGAGTGGATTTTTAGTGGTTTGAGTATTCTCCTATTAATCAAGTGGAATGGATTAGTTCATGAAGGAAACAGCACTGACTGAACTAATGGTAAAAAGGTGTTTGAATGTGGGGGGAGACACGTCCCCCTTCACATACAACGGTTGTGGCGCCTATGACTGGACTCATTAATGGTGGACTCAGAACTGTTAGACCCATTAATGGTGGACTCAGAACTGTCGGACCCATTATTGTTGGACCTAGAACAGTTGGATCCATTATTGTTGGACCCAGGATTGTTGGACCTAGAACTGTTGGACCCATTATTGTTGGACACAGAACTGTTGGACCCATTATTGTTGGACCCAGGATTGTTGGACCTAGAACTGTTGGACCCATTATTGTTGGACACAGAACTGTTGGACCCATTATTGTTGGACCCAGGACTGTTGGACCTAGAACTGTTGAACCCATTATTGTTGGACACAGAACTGTTGGACCCATTATTGTTGGACCCAGGATTGTTGGACCTAGAACTGTTGGACCCATTATTGTTGGACACAGAACTGTTGGACCCATTATTGTTGGACCCAGGACTGTTGGACGCATTATTGTTGAACCCATTATTGTTGGACACAGAACTGTTGTACCCATTACTAATGGACCTTGTACTGTTGGCTCTTTTATGGTTTGACCTCATATTGTTACATTACTATTTGAACTCAGACTGTTGGACTTAGTGCTGTTGGAGCCCTTATTGTCGGACCATGACTGTGAACACCTACTTTGGTCTGGACTGCTGATGGTCTTTGTCTTCGGAGCTCCAGGACAATGTTCAGGATACTGAAGTCTTTTCTGATGCACTGCAGAACAAACAACAAAATCAGTGGAAACCTGAAAACAAATTTGTGATGTCCTACAGCTGGCCTGGAGGCCACAGGGACACATTCAGGAACTTCTTGTTTTAGCTGCCCAGTAAATCTGACCACTGATGACATTTTTACATTCAAGTTCTTTACTTGTCCAGTGCTGGACTAAATTTGTTACTGGCAAACTTAAATGAGCACCTAAAAATCCTCTTGTTCCATATTTTCCTAAGAGGGCACTTCGCTATCAGACTGCAGGTTTACTTATGGTTCCTAGGGTTTCCAAAAGCAGAATGGGAGGAAGATCTTTCAGTTCTCAGGCTCCTCTCTTGTGGAACCAACTTCCAGTTTCTGTCCGTGAGGCTGACACACTGTCCAGTTTTAAGACTGGGCTCAAGAGTTTCCTTTTTGATAAATCCTATAATTAGGGTTGGCTTGGTTTCCTGGGGTATCCTATAGTCATGGTTGGAGGTCATGGTTGGACAGATCAGGGCAATCATGTTCAATCAGGGCCATCCATTGAACTCTGTCTTCTCTAATCAGCAAAGTTCATTGAGCACCAGACTCCGTTCACTGAGGTGCTCTACTGAGAGACTAAATAACTTGTTTGTCCCTTGTGCCATTAGGCTATATAATTCGGCCATTCCTGGCAGGAACCAGAGAAGTTAACTGCTTATGTTCCCTAACATAGCTGTTGCTTGATCTCCTCTTAGTGCTGTTTATTATTATTATTATTTTTAATAGTCCATTTTTTAATCTGGTGTGTTTTTATCTTATTGTTTGTATGAATGTGAGCTACAGACTACCATATAATTTCCTTTGGGCCTGCCTGCCTGCCTGTGCCTGCCTGCCTGCCTGCCTTTCTTTCTTTCCATTCTGTATTCCGGGTGTAGCTGATGGTGTCAGCCTCTTTGTTGACTATTCTGTACTTCGATTGGTGCCTTTGGCATGATCACCTGTTGGAGACTCTGTCAGAGAATCCCTGCATTAACTGCAGTTACATGCCCCGTACCGTGAGGGTGGCTCGGCTGGTCCAGCTGGCCCAGCTGTGCCCCGAGCTTGGTGATGACCTTTCGTCTTCTGGGTAGGCATCTCTGCTTAGGTGCTCAAAGTGCTGGAATGAGGCCTCAGTCCCTGTGGCTCCTACTAAGAAGAAGCAGGCTAAGCCTGATCAGGGCCTCGCCACGAGCGTTGAGCAGTTGTCTACAGAACTGGCAGAAATTAAATCTCTATTTGATATCTCTATATGACCAGTACAGGGAAAAGAGAGCACATTACACCAGTTTTGGCCTCACTGCACTGGTTACCGGTTCACTTTCTAATCCAGTTCAAAATACTCATGTTTTTCTACAAATCACTGAACAGCCCCCCCCCCCCCCCCCATTCTCTGATCTGCTACAACCGTATGTTCCACCACGTTCCCTGAGGTCAGCGGACCAGTTGCTCCTCACAGTTCCAGGAACTCGTCTTAAGCGCAGAGGTGACAGGACCTTCTCTGTAGCAGGACCAAGACTTTGGAACGAGTTACCTCTGCTTGTCAGACAGGCCCCCTCCCTCTCGGTTTTCAAGTCCTGTTTAAAAACTCACTACTATTCGGTGGCTTTCAACACCAGATGATCTGTGTTTTGATCCTGTATGCTCCACACTGGTTTGTCGTCATTATCTGCATTGTTTTTATGTCTATATTCTGATTTACCTCATTTTGTATTTTGCTTTGTGTGTTACCTGTTGTTCTGTCTGTGCAGCACTTTGGTTGGCCTTGTTGCTGTTTTAAGTGCTCTATAAATAAAGTGGTATGGTATTTCAGGCATGCCAGCTGGATGCTTCAGTGGCAGCAACTGGATTCACTTTTCCACCCATGTCTGAGTTGGCTGCGGAGGAGGATGTGCTGTCCTTGGCTGCCTCTACCTCTCACTTTTTAGGTGAGGAGGAGGCGCAGTCATCTTGAACTACAGAGATTGGCTCACTCTCTTTGTCTAAGAGCAGGTCAGATGACAGCTCTATGCAGGACATTATGTGTATGGCCCTGAGGCAGCTGCAACTGGACATTCCACAAGTAGCAGAGTCCACCCCTAGAAGTGCCTTCTTCAGGTGCGGATGAACCCCTTCTCTGTCCCTCCATCGGAGGAGTACCTGACGGAGTTGCATGAGTGTTGGTAGGACCCTAGAGCCTCTTCACGCCTCCCCACAGATGATCAGGTGTTGGCGGCTATGCATGAGTTGGCCAAAGCAGGCCTGAACCATATGCCGGCAGTTGAACCCACCATTGCCTTGCTCATTGTTTCACTCAAGGAAGCCCTGTGCCTCGAAATCCGGTGCCCACAGGCTCAATGTAACGTTACAGATGACTTCCTCTGTAAAGCTTATAACACCGGAGTGCGTGCTGGCTGCCTCAGTAATTCCTTGGCGCACCTCATGTTTGTCCTCTCCACATCTCTTCAGGACACTAACGAGGCAACAACAGCGATGGACTTTTTTAAAGCAGCCCTTCAGGCCTTTGCTCTGATGACCAGAGAACTTGGGCATGTAATGTCCTTTTTAGTTCAGGCCCATGAACAGATCTGGCTGGCGCAGTTGACATCGGACGAGTCATGCCGCAGGACCCTCCGTAGTGTCCTGGTGGTACCAGGGGAGTTGTTCAGTTCAGCTGCATTGGAAGCACTAGAACAGACAGTCCAGGCACAGCAAAATAGACAGCAGTTTTCAGGTCTCAGCAGGGTAATGCCCCCTCCAACTCCTCGGCATCCAAGGTGCCCGTTGGCTGGTCCTAGCATTTGACTGCCACCTCGGGGTTATCAGAGTCAGAGTCAGAGA